ACACACAGACACACGGCGCGCGCGGCGCACACCCACACACACACACACACACACACACACAGCCTTTTGTGTTTCTATGGTAAACGGTTTGATCAAAAAGTATGAATAGCAAACAGAGTACATATTAAGATTTTCTCGTTTAAACTTACGAATTAAAATAAAAACTGAGTGCGATAGCTCCAAAACAATGTTTGAAAGTTAATTGAGAATGGGGTGTGAGATAAAGTCTCCAAATCGTGAAATCGAGTGTGTGTCCTGATGAGACAGAATAAGTTTCCGATTTGTGTCTTGTTCGGCTTGTTGTCTCGTCTGGAAACATAGGCAGCATGACTCGTCTTGAATGTCTGTTCTGAAAAGTTAAACACATTGCAGACCATTTTTTCTCGGACTCTAACTGTATCAGTTACTTCACAGTTTTCAAGTTTACAATGGTTCAAGAACGTGATTTCATACAGTTTATGGGCATTTATTGCTCCTGAAAATGTTGTTCAAAGTAGAATATCTCTGGCTATAATTATTTGTACATATTTTAGCCCCCTTTAAAGCAATGTTTATATTTCGGGAGGCAAACTGTTTCCAAGCTGCTTGTCTGAGCCAACCTAGTCCAACTGTAAACAGTATCCCACCAGAAAGATAGGGATATAACTTAAATCAATGTTGACCGACAAATGAAACGTTTACATAAGAAATTAATAATCCTGGAAGTAAGTTAGTCCAAAGTACAAAATGACCATAGCACATGGGCATTTCTGTTTGTTTGTTTTTAAAACGTAGGAAAAAGCAGATGATATAACTCTTCTTCCCGCGGCATTTTGAGTAACCATTTCTTCCTGCTTGACCAGCTTACAAATTTTTGTGACTTGACAAACTTGTGTTCCATACTTTTAGTAACCAGGGTCTGCCGAATGTCCACTGTCGGTCCGCTCCGGCGAATGCCGAATGACAGCATTGCTAATAATATCGACTTACTAAGTTTAGCCCACGGGTTCTCAGCAAGCCGGTATAAATATGAGCCACCGGCACCATCAGAATCACAAGTACTTCTATGATAATTGAAGACAAGACAAGAGAAAGCAGCACGGACGATCCTCCAGCAGCACCTTGAAAATTCAAGACAGTTTGACAAACAAGTACAACTTTTTTCCACGTCCATAAAACGCAAGTCCTGTAGGTGAGTGATAAAAATTCCTTAACTTATATCCTCATCCAGTTCAAAAGAACACGGACAATTGAAAATTAATATTTGTCTATGTTCAACAATGTCTAGTGAAATATAGCCTTTTATTGTGTGTACAAATGATTAGTCTACAGTGTTTTTCAGGCTTTCAAATTACGGTCGTGTCATCAATTTCTTTATATAAATAAATTATGTATATCCAACAAAATATGTGTATTTCATAAAAGCGATAGAGAATGTGCGTGTGTGTATGTGTTTTGTGTGTGTATGTGGTTGTGTTTGTGTGTGTGTGTGTGTGTGTGAGAGAGAGAGAGAGAGAGAGAGAGAGAGAGAAAGTGTGTGTGTGTTTGTGCCTCAGCGTGTTCGAAAAAGTTGCAGAGAGAGAGAGGGGGGGGGAGAAAGTGTAAATGTGAGAGAGAGGGGTGGGCGGGAGAAAGAGAGAGTTGCAAAGATATCAAAATAGAAAGAAAAAGTTCAATGTGGAAAAATATTTTAGAAATACACACTTCGGACGAAAGTTGCCACTGACATACACCTTTTTGTGTTTAAAAAATAAAGTGCTTATACCATTGCTCATGACAACGGCAGGGAAATTAACGCCAGCAACACCACAGTTCTACTTATCATTGTCATCAACCCATCGAACAACGTCAACACAAATATCAATGACAGCACAAGAGCAACAACAACAGCAGTAGCAACAACGGCAGTGAAGAACGGCAATAAAAATACAACAAAATGCAGCAATAATAAGACAAACATGGTAGAATCACCAGCAGCATTTTATTTTAAACTTAAAAACATTCTGGCATCTAAAGTTCTCATGTTGATATAAATATCTGCGTTTGTTTTACAGACTAACGTTAAACAGAAGATTGCCGGGAGCCAGTCGCCGCATAGGCGAAACAGCTATCAAGACGTGAGTGCAGCTTGTCTCAGTGTCTCACAACAAGACAATCCTGAACAGAAATGAGTCTGACAATGTTTGGGGGCGACCAGGAACAGGTGTGCCTAAGCTTTCAGCACCCTGGGCAGAACAGCTCCTTTTGTGAGTCAACAACATCAGCTGAGATAGAAGAAAGCGTTTTTATTTTTGATGATCTGGTTCTACTCGTCCCTTGGATACCTCATTTTTTCCTCTGGGCAGTCGCTCCACTGTATCTCATCTACTTCCTGTCACCTGGGAAGACTACCAGTCCCATTGGAAAACTCGGAAAGATGAAGATGTCCGGCACTTTGTTTATGGCCACCGTCTCCGCTGTGCAACTTACAAGAATGAGCAATATCAAGGTAATGCTGGACAGCCTTAGTGGTCACTACTGCTGCCACTGGGCGAGGCTGGCCTCTTTGATGCTGACCACAAAGCTAACGACAATTGAGAGACAACGAGGCACCCACTACTCCTTTCCTCTCTTCGTGTTCTGGGCTCTAATGTTGGTTTCTGATTCGATGTCCTTCATCCAAGATGTCAGCTCCGAACTTTATCTCCGTGATCCCTTTACCTTTGTGCTGTCTGCTTGCTTCGTTATCGGAGCTCTGATCCAGTTTGTAATCTCCTCTCTGCCCGACTCGAGAGTTCCAGCACCGGATGCCCACCCAGAAGAACTGACTTCTCTCCCCGGAAAACTCACTCTGAACTGGATCACTGGCATAGTCTGGCGTGGTTACAGAAATGGTCTAAAAGAAGAAGACGTGCCTCGCATGGCAGCACATGACAGATGTCAGACTCTATCCCCAGCTTTTGAAAAGACTTGGGACAAAGAGGTGGCTGTTCTTCAATCACGCCAAGGTACAGAGACCGAGCAGACTGATGCATTGAAGGATGGAAAGTGTCAGAAAGAAGTACAACCCCCTAAGGTAAATCTTCTAAAGGTTCTGCTAAAACGATTTGGTACTGAATATTTGACTTATCAATCCATCAAACTATTCTTCGAACTTACCATGTTTGTGGAGCCACTGTTGATGGGCTGTTTGCTGACACACTTTCAGCACAGAGACACGGAACCAGCCTGGAAAGGCTACGCCATTGTGATGGGCTTGTTTGCCTCATCACTTATCACCAACACAGGACACAGTCGAGTGTGGACGTCAGTGGACAGACTGTCTAAGAACATCAAGAGTTCTCTCAAAATGGCGGTGTACAAGAAAGCGTTAAGTGCCAGAAACGAGGGCAAGCGAGACATTACCACCGGCGAGATCGTTACCCTGGTCGCAGACGACTGTGAAAAGTTGGTGAATGCCAGCAACATCGTCTTTCTCATTTTGGCCACCCCTGTTCAAGTGAGTGTGGCTCTGTACATGCTCTATCAACAATTGGGAACGGGAGCTTTCGTCGGTTTAGCCATCATGTTGTCACTTATTCCCCTCAACGCTTGGGTAGGCAAAAAGCTGAAGAAATTTGAAAAGGAAAAGAGTGACATCAAAGACAAAAGGATCAAAATCATGAATGAAGTTCTCAACGGCATAAAGGTACTGAAACTGTACGCGTGGGAAAAGTCGTTTCTTAAGAAAGTGATGAGCTCCAGGGATCAAGAAGTGAGCTTGCATAAGAAGATGTGCTTAATCCATGCTGGTATTGACTTTATGTTCTGTACCATCCCCTTCATGGTGCGTGTTGGTGGCTTCATGACCTTTGTCTGCCTTGGAGGCTACCTCGATCCTTCCACAGCTTTTGTGACCACGTCTTTGTTTGCAATCTTAAACAAACCTTTCAGCATCATGGCCATCATTATACCAGAGTTTGTTCAAGCATCAGATGCTCTGGCAAAACTGAACAAGTTTCTGAACCTTGAAGACATTCCAGAAGATATTGTCAAGAAAACCAGTGTTTGTGAAGAGTCAATTACGATCAAAGATGGTGTGTTCACCTGGGACAGATCTAGCTCAAAGAACTGCATTGAGAACATAAACGTGAGCATTCCAACAGGCCAGCTTGTCGCCATCGTAGGAATGGTAGGATCAGGAAAATCTTCACTTCTTTCAGCTATGCTTGGAGAAATGGAAAAAGTGGAGGGAGACGTTACTGTGACTGACTCAACCGCCTACGTTCCCCAAGAGGCTTGGATTCTAAACACATCTTTGAAAGAGAACGTTGTATTTGGATCCGGGTATGATACTAAAAAGTATAACAAAGTCGTGGACGCCTGTGCTTTGAGAGATGACTTCAAACTGATGTCTTCGGGCGATAAAACTTTAATAGGAGAAAAAGGCATCAACTTGTCCGGGGGACAGAAGCAGCGTGTGTCTCTAGCCCGGGCTGTGTACGCCGACGCGGGAATTTACCTCCTGGACGACCCACTGAGCGCGGTGGACGCTCACGTCGGAAAACATATCTTTGATCAAGTGATCGGGCCTAGAGGCATGCTGAAAGGCAAGACTCGTGTGCTGGTAACCCATGGTGTGCACTGGC